CTAACACGTGCTCACTTTAAAGAAAATACCATCGTTGATCACAGAGCCTATTTTGAAGGGCGCATTCAGAGCTGAGAGGCAATAAATTGATAATTGGTGCAAATATTCATCATAAAAATTAATAATGTGTACAAGAGCAGCCTACTTCACATTAGTTTATTCATTCATTCAGCAAACAGCTATTGTGTGCCTACTGTGTGCTAGGCACTATTTAGGAGCTCGGGGTAGAGAGAGAGAGAGAGAGAGAGAGAGAGGTAGACAAAGGTTCCTGCTCTGCTAGATCTGACATCCTGGTGAGAATCTGCCCCCTGATCATGAAAAGTGTCCTGGGAAGAGTCCTGAGGCATCAGAGCTGGAATTTAGGTCCTGGCTCTGTGACTAGTCAGCTGCGTGACATTAAGTCACTTGGCCTCTCTGAGCCTCACATACTTCTATTCCCATGGCTGTAACACCGGAGCACGCTCATTCGTTCATCTATGTGGCCGCTCCCTCCTATACTGTGAACTCCTGAGGGTAGGGATCTTTTCAACTTTATGCTTCCAGCCCCAGCACATGGCTGTTTCCTGCCCACGTGTCACCACTACCCTACTGACCCTCACATTTATATGTTAACCAGAGCCATTTTCTTAGCAAGCAAATCGGCCCTTGTCTCTTCCCTGCTTACAATTTTAAATGACTCCCTGCAGTTTACAGGGATCCTCCAAGGCTGGCCTGCAAGAACCTGGCCCCCGGGGATCTGGAGCTCATCCTTTGTCACCCTTCCCAAAACACCGTCCCGGAAACACATCTTTTACCTACAGGAGTGTAACGGTTCTCTACCCTGCGCCAGCCCCCTGAGTAGCAGGCAAATTCTAATCGATTTTTTGGACTCAGCTTTGCCACATCTTCCCTGGGAAGCCTTCCTTCACCTCTTACTTCTCCCCAGGGGTGTCCTTCTCTGTGCTCTGTGGGCAACTTTCGCAAATCTCCAGCCTAACACCATTAACTGAATAAACGTTTATTACTGATCAGTATCTCCCACTTGACGGGACAGTTGAGGATAAACAGAGCGACCTGCTTGATCTCTTCCTCGAGCCAGTGTCATCTACAAAAAGGGTCTGGTCTAGACTAAGAGAGACTCCAGGGACCAGACGCAGCATATCAGCATGGAGCGGACAAAATAGCTCTCATGCACATTTGGGGGGAACTGGGAAAATCTGAACATAGACCGGAGATTAGACGATACTAAGAAATAATTGTTGAAGAGTTTAGATGTACTGTGATGTACTAACTTTTAATAGTTTCCTAAATTTGCTGGAGGAGTGTCATGAGGTCTGTAACCTATTTGGAAATACAACATCACAAGATAGATCAATATGGTAATGAAATAAAATAGTTGTTGGGCTTCCCTGGTGGTGCAGTGGTTGAGAGTCCGCCTGCCGACAAAGGGGACACGGGTTTGTGCCCCGGTCCGGGAAGATCCCACATGGCGCGGAGCGGCTGGGCCCGTGAGCCATGGCCGCTGAGCCTGTGCGTCCGGAGCCTATGCTCCGCAATGGGAGAGGCCACAACAGTGAGAGGCCTGTGTACCGGAAAAAAAAAAAAAAAAAAAAGTTGTTAAAAAATCGAGGGCATGGATTTAGTCCATTTGCTTTTATACCTCCAGCTCCCAGTGCAACCGTCTGACGCGTAATGGATTGTACAGAATTTTGATTGTTGAATTAATCATGAGCAATGGCCAGAAGGTGGGAAAAGGTATGGAGTGTTTCTGATGTGGAAGTGGATGTCTTTGAAAAGATTGAAAACAAAATTGACAGTTCCTAATTTCAGAGGGACTACCAGGAGGAAAAGGGGGCTTAGACCTATTGGGGAGGGCAGGGGCAGGGAAATGAGCAGAGGGCACGTGGTTGAGCCTGGAGTCCCTCTTATGCAGGGACGCCGTGAACAGTTACACAGGCTGCACACTGCTCAAGGGACCCCACCTGAATGGGTTGTGATTAGCTGTGTGCCCAAAGGAGGAGGCTTTTTTCTAATTTTTCTCTACCATGGGGGTTAGTGGCAGCCCTGTTCCTATGTTTGTGGGGCTTGAGGAAGGAGAGGAGAATTAAGGTGACCATCCGATGTGCCTGGGTTTCTCAATATGCATCCATGGGACAGTCCTGGGCAAACCTAGAAGGTTGGTTGCCCTCAGTATAGGGCAGCAAGAGAAAGAAGAGATTGAGGAGATGGAAGTGAAGATGGAGAGAGACTGAAACCAGGGGGCAGAAGGAGATAAGCTTGTGGGTTGATGTTTTCCAAAGGGACCAGAAAATGGAGTCATTGTCACCAGCTCATAACACAACTTCCTGCAAGCTCAGCAACCTGTCCTCCCCACCTGGGCTCTGCTGAGCATCCATAGGACAGGATGTCCACTTTCCCACCCACTGGACCCAGCCTCATACAGTTACAGACAGGCCCAGGGAGGAGAGAGGGCACCCAAGGGAGTTCTCAGTTTCCCCTCAGCAGCTCCAGGCAGGAGTTATTACAAAACAGCACACAAAGTAGGAGTGCAATTGTATGTGGGTGTATAGGTGTCTGTGTATGTCCATGCATGCACATGTGTATGTGCCTGTGTGCACATGAGGATACAGACACAGAACAACCCTAATTGGCTAGGCACCAAAACGTTAACACTGATTTTTTTCTGACTGGTAGAGTGAAGTAATTTACTAAGGAGCATATCAAACTTTAAAAAAGATATTTAAAAAATGTGGTCAGGGCTTCCCTGGTGGCGCAGTGGTTGGGAATCCACCTGCAAACAGGAATAAAGGATCCCCGAAGGAGCACCTCTCCCTGTGGGTGTCAAAGATTCCTGATATCTAGGGGTTGGGTATAAAATGGTATCTGATATCCATTGTAATAAATCTGGAGTTAACTTTCTAAGACACTAGGATACTTTTGAGACAGAATATTCTTTTAAGATGGATTTTTAAAAAAATAAATGAGATTTAACATTTTTCTTATTTTATTTTTTTAATTAGTTAATTAATTTTTGACCACACCACCACATGGCTTGTGGGATCTTAGTTCCCCAACCAGGGATCGAACCTGGCGCCCTCGGCAGTGAAAGCACCGAGTCCTAACCACTGGACCGCCAGGGAATTTCCTTAAGATGGATTTCTTGATAGAGTTTATTTGTTTGGGGTTCCAATAAGCTGGGTGAGTTTCTTCAAATTGTAGATATCATGTTTTCTATTGTCTGTATGCAGATATGGGAGAGTTATTTTGTCAGTCCCCTAAGATGCATAACTTGAATCCCTGCCATGAAAATACCAATTGATGTTTACTCTTCATTGGAGAGATGACCCAGCAACTGGCTTCCCCCTGTAGGAGTCAAAAGCCCCCAACATCTAGCTTGTCTGGGGGGTGGCAAGGCGGTGACTTGTCTCTCTGGTGAGATTCCTCACTGAGATAATCTTTACTGGGTTTGGGAGTTTGAGGAGGAATTTCTTATTTGATCTCATTTCTAGCTCCCCAGGTTGTAAACTTCCAACTCTAGTTCAAGTGTGCAAGAAAGAACATCTCAAACCTCATACACAATTTAGAGAACACCAGCCGTTTTCGTCAGAAATAGAAGTTGTTTGTGGGTAAGGGGGAAGGGCAGAGGACTGAGATCATGGGTTCTAAGATTCTAGAGCTGCAAATGGTCCTCCCACCCAAAAAAAAAAAAAAAAGCAGCTGGGAGACTCTTTGGAGCCCAGGTGGTGGCTGAGAGGGGTGTCTGGCACACGAAAAGACAGGAGTGTCTGAAGCTGAGCCAGAATTTTATTTAATTCGTGTTAATTTTTAAAAGTCTTTCCTGAATGCAGATCTACATGTTGTCCAGATCAATATGTATCCCGAAGTTCTGAACTTTTGATAATATACTTATGTGGGCTTTTATTTCAAATCTGCCACTTTCTCCCTATTACTATATGTCTTCCTTATTGTGAGTCGTAGGTGAAAAAAAATCTGCATTTTAATGTCATAACTATAGACCTTGTATCAGAAAACACACGCCAAATCATTTTCCCCCCAAAGGTTTTGCTACAGTGCCAGGGATACAGGAAGTCCTCAGCAAACATGAAACAGAAGTCCTCAGCTTTTGCAAGTTGTAAATGAAACAGGAAACAGGAACACTTCCTAACCAGACATTCTATAGGACTTCCCCCAAGGGCCCTGCCAGGGATCTGCCTCCTTTTATTAAATGACACCATCCGAGTGAATTTCAGTTTTGAGCTGGTGTGTAACAGACTATCTTTCTTTTCATAGGAGAAGCATCTGGTTCCTTCGAAGGACTGCGTTCTTTTTTTGAAGGACATAGTGTGTGATGGTAGTGAAATCCCAAGGAACCCAAGGGACTTCAGAATAAGCAGAGAGGATGGGCTCCTGAAACTGAGACTTTGTTTTTGTTTTGTTTTGTTTTTCATGTTCATTCACTCAGTCAACTCATTATCTTGACTGACTAGCTGGAATAATCAGAGGAGATCGCTGACAAAGTACCAAGTTACGCAAGAGATAAAGGCTGGGCAGGGGCAAGGAGGAAAAGGATGTTTACTTGTCTGGTTGTCCTTCCTGAGACTCTGAAGATGAAGCACTGGCGGGTATTTTAATAAGAATTAGTAAGTCACACATCTTAGGAGTGGACACAGTAACTCTCTCCCACATCTGTATAGAGACAACAGAAAACGTGAAATCTGCAATTTGAAGAAACTCATCTAGCTTATTGGAACCCCAGACAAATCTAACTCTATCAAGAAATCTATCTTACCAGTAGCTTCTGCTCCCAAAGTGTCTTAGTTTCTCAGGAGGTTAGTTCCAAACTTATTACAGAAGATAACAGGTACCCCCCCCCCACCCCCCGCCATTCCCTTATATCCACGAGCTCAAGTCATGTTCTGGCTTCCCGGTGGCATCTGCTGTAGTTCTTGAGTGAATGGAGAAAAGTCATGTGGGCCAACCCCCAGCCTCTGCCCGGCCAGCTTTCCCAGTTCGGGACTCACGTTTGCTGGCCTTCAGCTTCTTCTCATCCACGGGAATGAGGTCCAAGTAGTCCAGGTAGTATTCGTAGCTGTCGTATGCAGTAGAGGCATTGGTCCGGTTGGCCATGCCTGCGGCGCTGGCAGGTGGCCCCTCCGGAGCTGCTCAGAGCTCTACCAGGAGGTTGCCCGGCTGATTTCTGTAAAATCATCCAAGTGTGTCTGTGGGTCTCCAGGCTCAAGGCCTGCCCACTTATCAGAGCCGTTGGGCTCAGAGGAAGGTCAGAGGGGTGGGCCTGACATCTTCAGTGTTCAAGTAGAGCATTCCATCCTGCCCTGCTTGACGGAACTCCAAAACAAACAGAGCTACAAGGCTGGAGCCTGCAGTCCCAGTGCAGTTCCAGGTTGGCCCTCAGCGTCAGGACAGGAAAACAGATCCCCCAGAGCCCCTTGAAAGGCAAGATGTGGTCTACGATTGGAAAGGACAGTCACTTTCTACCTTAAGTACCTAAAAAGTTAATCAGCAAATCAAAAGCCTGTCGGTGCCCTTGACTTGCATTAAGGCAGTGCCTGGTGCTATTAAGCAACCAGCAAATCACTGGCTTACGTTCCTTATCCGAGGGCCTGAGTGATGTAAACCCTGAACTTGCAACCTGTCGTGTCCACATCAGCAATTAATTAAACCAAAAGGACACTCCTCTCCAATTGAGCACACTTCCCAGCTTTCATCTGAGCCCCCAAGAAACAGTCAGTCAGTTGCCTCTGTTCAGACAGGCTGTTTTTCGTGTCAAGATCCCACATGGACTGCGCTCTTGGGAAATAGGGCCCCAGGGTGAATAGGGTTCACCAGCCCTCTGCTGACGACACATGGGACAAGGATTCTGCTGGTCAGGGCCTGACTCCAAGTTGTACACTCACTTTTCTAGGAGCACAGATGCAATCAAGAGGAACATTCCAAGTACTGGGAATGAGAAGCTCTAAATGTGAGAGGATCCCTAGAATTAGTTACGAAATCAAAATGCACAGAATGCTGGGGACTTTCCCTCCAATATATGAACTTTCCAGTCTTCTTGATTCAGGTCTACACTGCCAGAGGAAAGCTGGGCACTGATGGTGTAGACAGTGAACCCGGATAACTTCAGGCCCACCTGGGGGGCCTGCAGCATTCCACGGGGACCCCTCCTCCTGAACTGAACCTCGGTGGTTCAGTCGATTAGAAAGGGAGAAGTGAGCTCCTGCGTTTCCAAAGTGAGGAGATGAAAGATCCACTTGAAAAGACACTCCGTACAGCATGCACATCCCTGTGCACATACGTCCAGCTGCTGCTGTGCACGTGCCTCCTGGGAGTCCTTGGTTAAAGGGACAGTAGAGTGTAGGGGACACAAGCATGGATTCTGGAGCCAGGCTGCCCACTTTGCATCCTAGCTCTAGCTCTTCCCAGCAGTGTGGCACTGGACAAGTGACTTAACCTCTCTGCAGCTGGCTTTCCTCATCCGTGAAATGGGCATGACCACAGCATGTGTCTCCCGGGCAGGGGGCGGCGGCGGGGGGGGGGGGGGGGGGGGCTGGGAAGTATGAATGGGCACAGCCAGGCATGGGACTTACAGCAGCCTTGTCGGTAGGAGGCGCCCGTAAATATAAGCTGTTGTTGTCACCTGCCAGCGAATGTGGCCTTTCCTCCCACCCCACCATGCTTCTTTTCTCATTTCTCATCCTCCATCGAGTCCATCTCCTCTTCATCTCTACTCTCACCCTCCCTCTCTCATAATCCATCCATCTCCTTCTTTGTACAACACCAACCTTGGATACAGATGAACTCCTTCTATTTCTTGCCTTAACTACCCACATTCTCCAGCACTCTGCCTGTCCTTTAGGAGAACCTCTAGTAAAAAGTTTCCCAACCTCAGGTTACCATCATCATCCACCAGCATGCACCCAGGTGCACGTGTGCACACGCACACACACACACATAGTATTTTCCAGAAACTTAAGTGACATGTTCAGGCTTACCCAGCCGATTAGTGATTGAGTCCAGATAAGAACCTGAGTCTCCCGACTCCCAGTCTGCTGAGCGCCCCTTGGCACTAGGCAGTCTTCATGGACGTGACTTACAAAAAGCAACTGACAAAGAACGTCATGCTCTTAAGACACAGGCATGGATACAGGGAGGGAGAAGAGACAGGGACTCCTTCTCCGCTGGGAATTGAAGGTCAAATGAGGTGACCTAGGCTATTAGCAGCAAAGAAATGTGACCAAAGAGAGGTTCAATTTCAAGGCTGAGTGAGATCTTGTTGATAAAAAGATAAAGGATCTCTGACTTTTTTTAAATTACTTTTTTATTGCAGTATAGCTGCTTTACAATATTGTGCTAGTTTCTACTGTACAGCAAAGTGAATCAGCTATATGTGCACATATATCCCCTCTTTTTTGGATTTCATTCTCATTTAGGCCACCACAGAGCACTGAGTAGAGTTCCCTGTGCTATACAGTAGGTTCTCATTAGTGATCTTTTTTTTTTGTAAATTTATTTATTTGTTTGTTTATTTATTTATGGCTGCCTTGGGTCTTTGTTGTGGCACGGGGGCTTCTCATTGCGGTGGCTTCTCTTGTTGTGGAGCACGGGCTCTAGGCACGTGGGCTTCAGTAGCTGCAGCACGTGGGCTCAGTAGTCGTGGCTCACGGGCTCTAGAGCGCAGGCTCAGTAGTTGTGGTGCACGGGCTTAGTTGCTCCACGGCATGTGGGATTTTCCCGGACCAGGGCTTGAACCCGTGTCCTCTGCATTGGCAGGCGGATTCTTAACCACTGCGCCACCAGGGAAGTCCAGTGATCTATTTTATACATAGTATCAATAGTGTATATATGTCACTCCTAATCTCCCAATTCATCCCACCCCCACCTTTCCCCTTTGGTATCCATACGTTTGTTCTCTATGTCTGTGTCTCTATTTCTGCTTTGTAAATAAGAGGATCTCTGACTTTTAAGGATGTGCTGAAACAAACAATTATGCTACCAGATCTACCTTAATTGGGGTCGTACATGTTTTTACACTTTTAAGCAATTTAACACGTACCTGTCCAAGTCACTATAATTTTTTCTTTTCTCATTTTAAACTGAGGAGGTTGGAAGGTTGGAGCCAAGGGGATTTGCAAAACTGGCAGGCAGACTGACACAGAGTGTGAGGATAGCTGAGTCAAGAGGGAGCCCTTGCCCCTTTCTCGGCCAATCAATCCCTGGATCTTCCTCCTATTCGGTTCCTTCAAGTGCAAGTTCCCCACGGCCCAAGACAACTTCTCTGATCCTGCCGGGCCCCAGTGACTTTCCCTCCCCTCAACGCTAATCACATGTATTTGGCATCACTACCACCCTTTAAAAGACTATTTTAAAATTGATGTATAATTAAATGCAAACACCTTATGTATATATCTTGATGACTATTACACACACAGAAACATACACACACGTGAGCATCCTCTAGATCAAGATACAGAACGTTTCCAGTGCCCCAGCAGGTTCCCTCGGGATCCTTCCTGGTGGATAACCAGCCTCCACTCTTCATACACACCAAGGAAACTGCTATTCTGATTTCTAGCATCACAGATTAGTTTTGCTTAATTTCAAGCCTCATATAAATCTAATCGTGCACTACAATATGTACTCTTTTGTATCTCACTTCTTTTATTCACCATGTTCTTTTTTTTCCTCTGTGGTATTCCATTGTATGAATATTCTGTAATTTATTTATCCATTCTCCTCTCGATGAACATTTGAGTTCTTTTCACTTTTTTGGCTATTATGAATAAATGGGCTATGAACATTCCTTTTTTAAAAAAATATTTTATTTATTTATTTTATTTGATTGCACCGGGTCTTAGTTGCAGGAGGGGGGCTCCTTAGTTGAAGCTCACCGGCTCCTTAGTTGCGGCATGCAGTCTCCTTGCTTGTGGCAATGGAACTCTTAGTTGCAGCCTGCACATGGGATCTAGTACCCTGACCAGGGATCGAACCTGGGGCCCCTGCATTGGGAGCGTGGAGTCTTATCCAGTTCACCACCAGGGAAAGCCCCGAACATTCCTTTTCACATATGTGGTGGACATAAGTACTAATTTATATATCAGGTATATATCAGGAGTGGAACTGATGGGGATAGCTTTACTAGGTATAGCTAAACAGTTTTCAAAAGTGTCAGTACCAGTTTACACGCTCACAAGTATATATATGGAGTATTGCAAAAATGCCTACAATCCTCTTCCTTATACACCCAGTGACTTTATATTCTCTTCACATCAAAAAATGAAGCACATTTCTCCATTTTTTGATTTTGTGACTTGTTTTGGCTTTTACTAATAAGTAGGACTATTACGTTTTGTAAGTTTCAGGCCAACATATTAAGGCCTTAAGGTCATGTGCCCACTGTCCCGGACCCCTGCCCAGTTACTCTGTGAATATTTAATTTTTTATTGACGCATAGTTAATTTACAATGTTGTGTAGTTTCAGGTGTACAGAAATGTGATTCAGTTATACATATATATGTATATAACTTTATATAAAAAATACATGTATTTTTCAGGTTCTTTTCCATTATAGGTTATTACAAGATATTGAATATAATTCCCTGTACTATAGAGTAGGTCCTTGTAGTTTATGTATTTTATATAGATAGTGTGTATCTGTTAATCCCAAACTTCTAATTTATCCCTCTCCTCCCACCCCTTTCCCTTTTGGTAACCATAAGTGAATGGTTGTTCTTTTAAGCCTTTAATTTCGGGGTGATTTGTTACACAGAAAAAGGTAACTGATAAAATATGAGATTTCCAGTTGCTCCACATCTTCACCAACCTTTGTTAGTGTCAAATGCTTAAATACTCTGGTAAGGACCTACCACATTTTAAAATTCACTTCCGTACATGTCCTTACTTGCTTAACTGCTTTTTAAAGTTTTTGAAGACAAAGACCATGCTTTACACAGTAACTATAATATCAGTATTTGTTGGTAGCATCAATCATACTAAAAGCTTTTCATGAGATAAACAAAACTTATTCCTAACAACCAGAAATCTTAAGGCTGCAAAGAATGATGTAACAGCTGTCAGCTAATTCAGGTTCTTGCAGTAGGAAATTATGAAATTAAAAACCAATCAAATAGGGCTTCCCTGGTGGCGCAGTGGTTGAGAGTCCGCCTGCCGATG